GTAGATCTGCGCGAGTTGCACGAGGATACTTATTCAGCTGTTGTAAAAATCACAGACGAGAAAATAACGGCATCGAGGTAAAGTTGATCTAGAGATGAAGCAACCAAGTGTACAGCCTCAATTTTCGAAGACGGTCGAGTTTCAAGATGATACCATAGCCAGGTATCCGACATCCCAGGGAGTCAACGTTACGACGCTGGTTCGCAATAATTTTTCAGATGGTCAGACGAGAAGTTCCGACCACTTGGATTTGGAGCAGGAGGAATTTTTGCGTGGGTCCAACAGAGGAGAATAGTCCAGCAAGTCCCACGAATAGCCAGATCTGCGCGAGTTGCACGAGGACATTCGTTGTTCAGCTAAAAAGATTCAAACGAAGAGAGAGAATGACGGCATCCGAGTTGAACTTCCTTGTTTGATTTTCCGGTCTCGAGGGAGTTCACCTTAGTTGCGGCATCCAGAGAAGAAGAAGCGAAATGGAAGCAACCAAGTGTACAGCCTCGATTTGAGAACTGCGATTGAGACAGCCGAGTTGCGAGATAAACGCAGATGGTCGCGTGCTCCAGAACTTACGACGCCAGCAGCACGAGCTCGAACTTGGGGGTAGGGGGAATTTTCGCGTGGGTCGCACAGATGATAATAGTTCAGCGAGCCCCACGAATCGCCAGATCTGGGCGAGTTGCACGAGGACATTCGTTGTTCAGCTAAAAAAAAATCCGACGAAGAGAAAGTAACAGCATCGACTTGAACTTGCACTTGGTCGGTTTCGAAGGAGTTCAACCTTAGTTGCGGCAACTGGAGAAGCGCAAGGAAAGCAACCAAGTGTACAACCTCGATTGTATTTTTTGAGCGGCGATTGAGACGGCAAGGTTACCAAATACGAAGGCCAGCCCAGGAGTTAACGTTACGACGCTGTATAAGCCGATGGTCCGCAGGAATTTAATTTGGAGCAGGGAAAAGTTCGCGTGGTCCCAAGTCTTCAATTGCAAGAATAGTTGGCGAGTCCCACGAATGGCCGGATGTGCGCGAGCGAGTTGTAAATGGAGGACTGTGACCGTGGCGGTTTGACGGGGTTTTGAATTTTGAACGCAAGCCAAGCCGCCGGACCAATGGCTATGCCCCAAGAATCGGAGATCCATCGTCGTCGCCCTGTTGGGCAAGTAGTTACGAGTTTACGACTCGTGCGACGCGTGTAACGATGGAGAACTGTGATTTTGGTGGCTGAAGTTCATGTGGTTTTGGAGTTTTGAATAGACTCGGCCGGGGAAAGGTGGTGCGGTGCGTTCCTGAAAGCGGTAACGTACTGAAGATACTTGTAATTCAGGGGTGAACTCGAATGTTCGCAGTGAGGCATTATCCCAAATTGCCGAGGGAGCGGGAGCCATCGCGGAGCAAATCAAAGTCGAGTGGAGATCTACGTCGAGTACCTCGTCGGTTAAATTTGAGACGCCACTAAGTTCCTCGAGTTGGCACTGAGTGGCCGTCTTAGTGAGGTTGTTGCTACGCGGCGGAGGGAAAATAGAGCGAAAATCGACCACGCGGATGGTTGAACTGAAGTACAGAATTGAATTGAAATTCAGCAAGTCGCATATGCTTTGCTCCTTTTCGTTTGTGTTAAACCCTTGGACCAGTTTGACATCTTGAGAGCGGTACCTGAAGATACTTGACGCATGAACTTGAGTGTAAAAATAATCCCCAGGAGGAGGAGGATTGCCTGAATGGTCTAAAATTGAAACCCTCGGTGCCAGGAAGCCGTCGAGGATGTAAATCGAAGCAAGTGGAGATCTACACCCAAGTTACCGAGGCCGCTTTGACCAAGTTGACATGTCCACATTGAAAAAAAGAATGAGGCGTTGGCGACAATTGGGGGTTCATTATGAACGGGGGCATTGCGGGTGCGGGAAACACCGGAGCTCTTGTGGGATATACATATGGGTAGGGCATGCGGGCAAGCGAGTGGCATAGAGACTAGAGGCGTGGATCAGGTGGCGGTACCTGCCGATCAATATTAATCACATGGTGCTCCTCCCAACCAGGGCGAGACTGAACTACTACTTAGGCCGTCTACCACAATGTCCTTGCTCACAAAGACAGAGTCAAACTCCATCCACGCCTTTCTCGACACCATGGACTATGGCAATAGTCCCGTCGGCCGCGAGTGGGCCATGTATGCCCAGCCGGAACAGGAGCAACACCATGACAGAAATGCACTCACAAAGGCTACAAAGGACCTCATGGCGCTGGACGCGCGCGGTTATCCTCACCAGCAGCCCCAGCAGCAGTATTATTACCAGCAGCCCCCGCAGTTCCAGCCGCAATATAACACACATTACGATTACCCGCCCGGTCCAGTCCATTCCCGGCAGCCGACATTCCCATTTTTGCACCAGCAGCGTCCACCGCCACCGCCGCCGCCGTACCTTAACACCAATTATGCCCCCCCTCATCGGCCATATACAAACACCCCATCCACCGCTTCCACCTCGTCTTCTTCCTTTTCCTTTCCACCGGATCTTCCCCCGTCCCCCGTCGCACCGTCTCCTCGCAGACCGTCCCCGAAACAGACACAGAGCGCACCGGCCGCTCCACCGCCCACAAAGCGGTCGCGCACCACTCCCGCCCCCTCTAAACCTGCTCTGCTCTCGGCCGATCAGAAAAAGGCGAACCACATCCAGTCGGAGCAGAAACGGCGCGCGAATATTCGGCGCGGCTACGAGGCCCTCTGCGAGTCCGTTCCCGCACTACGGGATGCAATCCGCGAGGAGGAGGCGCTCACCGCCGTGCAGCACCCGCCGCCAGCCAAAGGCAAGCGGGGTCGGGGTCGGGGGCGCGACGACGGGGGAGAGAAGGTGGACGGGCGGGCAGGTCCACGCAGTGAGAATATCGTGTTGGGAAAGAGTAAGTCGTCTTCTTCTTTCTGCCTTGATAATATACCAATCGTCTTTTAGCTATCGACTACATGACCGAGCTACTGGCCGATCGAGAAACGCTTCGCAATCGACTCGACCGCGCACGCGCGGCTCTGCCCCCTGGCCACCCCGCCCGAACTCCGCTAGACCCCGACCCGTTTTGGGAGCGCGAGTGGAAGGGCGGGGCCAACCACGAGGCCGACGAAGAGCCCGAAGACGACGAGGACGACTCCACATGACATTGCCGCGATCCACCAGCTTTCCACCTCGCTTATTCGATTTGCTTTCCACTCCGCACGCATGCGGCCGTTTTATTGCTTTCTCTTCCTCGTTGTATTCACCCCAATAGAGCTGCCCACAGTACGACTCGCTCCGATGTACCCCGCATAGTCGATACCCTACCGCCACTTCTAATCCGTACCACACCCCACGCATTCGCCAGTCTGTCTGTAGCCACCAAATCAACTCTCCGACCGTATCGTCGAATCCTCATACATGTATCATATAGCCGTGGTCATGTACCCACTACCTATTCTACTCGAGTTTACTTATTGCCACTCATACGCATCCACCAATCGGTGTCCCCGGATTTGTGTCTCTAACACAACGCAATAAGTACGCGCGTTTCAGGCTCTCGCGCCAAGTGCGGTTAAAATTTGAGTATACTCCGATAGTCGCATCAACTATCCCATCACGACACTCCGGTTAGGGTCGCCTTAACGTGTCTGAACCCGGGCAATCAAGTCGAGGATGAGGGACAGATATTACTGTAGCTTTGCGCTTTTGAACTTCGTTCAAGAACAGGTAGCCCCTATCCAGTTTGCTAGTGCGCGGCTCCGAATGCCGTAATCCTTCTTTTTCCGCTTTTGGAGCCGACGGTTAAATTTACGTAATGAGAGTTGAAGATAGGGGTCAAAGATTGGCGGATCGAGTTGATTGGCGCAGAATGATGTTTGTAGCGAGAGATAGGGGCTCAATGATTCGCGGATCGATTCGCGCAGCAGGTCGGTTGCGTACTAAGGCCTAAAAATCGAACCAAGAACACATTTGGACAATTTATATTACATGTTACAACATCCACCCTGAATTACTTCTATGGTCCGCTTTCCTCTCGAGGAGTTTGACCTTTGAGCCCCAGAAGTCGTTCCTCTGCTTGCCTTAAGCTTCTTCCTCCCGGAGAAATACCATTCGTACCCGACGTTGGAGGCCATGCCACCCTGATGCCCAGTGAAAAATTGATGTTGGCAAGTCGAGACAGAAAGGTAGAGATGCAACGAAAATATTTCCCGCCAAGAAACTTAGCATACACAGATTTCGTTGCATGAATATATATTTGTATCAAGGGGAATCGACTGGAATCGAGACAGAAGGAATGCAGTTATTTTTGGATGCGTCGATGCGGTCTACATTTGTGTAGCGAGATCAATAGAGATATTTATGCTTTGAAATCACATCCATGTAGCCAGAAATTTATGAATGCATTGAGATATCTACTAAACATCTGAATACATCTACAACAACGCCGCCAGATTCACGAACCCTTTCGTCAGCGGTGTCTTCTATGGTTAGTGTGGTTGGCAGATAGGCAGAATTCTGCCGAACCGGTGTGAGCTATCACTTTGTGATTAGCTCTAGACGCCCTGCCACGGAGAACAAAAGCGCCTTTCAGGGCGACGGCTCGAAGCACGGCCACTGGCGCACTTGCACGGGAAATCATTGATGGAAATCACTTGGCGCACTTTTGAAGTCTGACGGCTAAATCACGGGCGCACTTTGGAACTTGTAGGCTAGGTCACTGGCGCGCTTCGGGAAGTTGCAGGCGCACTTACTCGCGGGGCATTCAAAACACACTTTGGGAAATTAATGACGCACCGTGGACTTGCGCACTCGAAGATTACAAGGGGCGCATCGCGGCGGAATCCACCGGCGCACTTATGGTTAGAAAATAAAGGCGCGCTGTCGCGAATAAAAAGAGGTAGCTTTGTTCTTTGAACGAACCACTTTAAAGGAACGAGTCGCGCACGTCTGTCAATGACTTGCCAAGAAAACGCGCCACTAAAGAAAAAGCCTCACCAAAAGCGCCTCACCAAAAACAGGCCCAACCTCGAATCGAACGAGGAGCTCGCAGTTAAAGGGAAATAACGTTGCAATAACGACTGCGCGCGATACCATTACGCCACTGGGCCATATCCACACCTCGAAACTTGCAACTAGAGCTATCTGAAAAAGGCGCCTAACAGAGAATGCGCCACGCGCAGGAAAGAGGCGCGCGCAGGCGCCGCAGGGACAGAAGGCGCGGGGCGCTATTCCAAGGAAGGGCGCTGAGGGCTATTTAAAAGAAAGGCGCGGGGCGCTACGAAGAAAGGCGCGAAGCGCTGCGCTGTTCAAAAGAAAGGCCGGCGCAGTTTGAAGAAAAGAGCGCGAGCGCGCTTTGGAGAAAGCCGCCGGAGATGGACAAATGGGGAAGCAAGGAATAGGTATATAAGGAGGGCGCGAAGGAGGGACAAGGCATCTAATTACCTCCACTGCATACTGCTAAAAGAAAGGCGCTCCCATTAAAAACGGGAGGCGCTAATCCAGTACATTGTCAAAATCAAATATATTAGTGTGCCTTCACGAGAGTGGGGTAACAGGGTCACCTTGACCGCGGTTGTACAGAATAGAAACTGCGCGATAAACCTCCTAGACAAGAAGGGAGGAAACATTGGAAATAACAGGTGTTGAAGCGCGCGTTCGGTTGAAGAAAAGCGCGGCGCGATCCTCCAAACAGCCAGCAGACCTACTCAGGCTGCGTGTAACTGTTGATTTTTGGCACCCATAACGCACACTTTGCGTGCGTAGGGCGCATTTATCGAGAAGGCGCCTTCTACCAACTCGACTATACCATTTCCCCCATCCAATTCGGCGAACTTCCCTCGACTAGCTAGAAAGGCGCCTTGCGCCTGGCTACTCGCGCACGCACCATCATTCAGATTGCGAAGGAGCGCGCTACAATCTAACGGCGCTGCGTTTACCCAGTTCTGAAGAAACTGCTTGCGCGCCCTATACGAGGCAAGGAGATACGAAAACACCACAATACCCGGGTTTACCGAGTAGGAGCGTACTTCACATCGCGGAGCGCCAATCCTTCGCGCGAGTGTAGAAGAATCTCCCATCGCGTCTTTCTCGGAAGGCTAGTCCCCAACGAGAGACCAAACTCTCGAGGAACCTAGCGCCTTCTCTAAAAAATCTGCTACTCGCAGAAGAGAAATCTGTATACACCACCACCACCATTAAAAAAATATCATTGCGTAGAAGTAAAGAGCGCTTCTAGCCCGCTTATTTCCCTCTAGAGGACGTACAACATTTGTATTGCAGTTTGACCGTAATTCCACGGCCAGATTCTAGTACAATAACCGCAGTCCACATCACAGCGCCTGCGTCGTCTTGCCTTTGGCCATGGTGGTTTGAAGGTGAGCTTTTTTGGCCTTTGATCCGGATACGCGATCACGTGTCGCATCGCCTTCTTGAAAGCAGTCTTTCCTTTTCCTGCGGCGCGTCTCTCAGTCCCTGAGGCAGTAACATTCAGGATTGATTGAAAAGTGAACTAGTTGCTTCTCACCAGCTTTCCTCCATGCCTGACCTCAGCCCGGTCCAGCCGACGCCGATTTCTACAGCTAGAGAGCTTGAACACGAATAATGTAAATGCTCACCCCAGGTCCCTTCTGCAACCAATCAATTTGAACCTTTGCCTCTGGAATACCAGAACATATCCGATCTCAGCAAAAATACTTTGAACAAAATTTCCGGGAGTCGAGTTTTGAGGTCGACGACCACCCATATCCTCTGGAACTTGAGTGAGTCTTCTTGAGTTTTCATACATCGAGCAAATTTTACTTAACGCTCGGGTTAACCTTACATTTTCAGGTTCGGTTACCACTTAGGGGTTCACAGAAGTCCTTGTACCCGTCATAAACCACTTGCTGCGTCGAATTCTTGAATGTTTGTTGAGTTAGAATGCACCACCGATAAGCGGGACAGAAGCACACTGGCAAAGGTCCCTGTCTGCGGCCGGGATTCGAGTGATTTGGATTTGAGAGCGACGGTTGAAACATACGAATAGTTTGTCCTCTTCAAATTTTGCCCTTGAAGCGCGACGTATCTGCGGAACGTGAAAGAAGAGGTTAGAAAGTCTCTTAAGCGAGAAATTGATGGCATCATTGCCACTCGCTTAACTTCTTTTCCATCTCGCCACGTACCCTCATCACCGCAGTCGTACTCTCCACGCCGCAGGCCTCACCTTTTTCACTCCACAATGCCCAAGCCCCACCAGAACGGCATTATCAGAGGATTCTCTGGCGACGACAGGAAGTTTCGCTGCTGCAATGCAGGCTTCTTTCCGAGTCCCGGCTTTGGAGGAATCAGACGTTTTGAAGTGAACAAAAGGCGGGGGAACGAATATTACCTTGTCACAACCAAGAAAAATGCATACGTATTCACAGATCGGTGCGCACCTCCCTTGTCATCTTTCATTTCCATCGTTACTGACTACTTTACTCACAGAGACGGATGTGATGCGGGGCAAGCCCCCCTCAAAGCTCCCTCTAGCGTCACTGTCTGCCAAGGACTCGTCAAAACCGCCGAAAACATCTACCTCTGGTGCTCGACGGAACACAACCACCGCCACGCCGAGCGCCGTTCCGAGCGTCTCGAGGTGTTACCCCAATCGGGCCCCATCATACCGTGGTCCTTGACCACCTACGTACGCGGTGCACAGTTTCATCCGTGGATCGCGCCGGCGGAACGGTCTCCGCTCCCCGCAAACATTGTGCAGGTGAAACACCTGACGCTCCCTGAAGCTGGGCCTCGCAAATCTGCGCGTGAGCATGTGAAATCGGCGGGTAAAGTACGTATGTCCTCAAATCGCCATCCCAACAACCATACTAACGGCTTCCTTCAGTCCAAGCAGACGCGTTGAATGTTTGTTGAATGTTGGAAGTTGAACTGTCGCTGAATATCAAGTACGTCCTGTCTTCATTATACCTTCTACGGCCACAAGTACTCAGGAGTCCCAGTTTGAAATCATATCTGTCAAATCATATCTGTCAAAAACGCGCGCCGCACTCCGGCGCAGGGCCTACATATGCACGTTTCCGCTCACTTACCAAATATCTCCTAGTGCTGTGATTGCTTTGCTATGATCCTGTTTCTGTCTACGCCGATCCCACAAATATATCAGCTTCTTTGTGCAAATGGGATTGCCGTGTGAGTTCCCTAAACCGCTTCGTTCACTCCTTCCTCTTCAAACCTCTTCAAACCTCCCGCCCGCAAACCTTCCCTTGACCGCCAGCAAAATCAGACGCCAAAACAAAACAAGGCGCATCCGAGTCTATCCTATATTGATTTTTCCTCTGACATTATTTCCTGCAGGGGCGATGGAATCCAAGGAAAACTACCCCCCCCCCCAAACCCTGCCTTAAACGCTAGCGAAGACAAGGCGCTGAAACGAGGCGCGTCTTGATATCCCCTCCTTATATTATATTCGACTTACATCATTAAACAGAGGCCCTGAAATACCATGGAGAGCCGGTTACACCTAGACTCGAACAGTGGCTTGCCCACTACAAGACTCCCAGACGTGCTGCGCTCTACGCGCGAGTGGCCGCGCGCGAGCGCGTCGTCGACAACTCGGTGAAACCACGCAAAACCCTGGTTCCCAGAACCACTACATCGTCCACACGACGCGCCAAACTCTACGCCCGCGTCGCTGAGCGCAAGAAACGGATGGACGACTTGCTGGAACTGCGTGCGCGCGCCATCGCGAAGAGTTTGACGTGTCCCATCCCTCCTCCCTGCCACCCCGCGGTAGAGAGAGAGCGAATCGCTCGTGAGAAGGCGCAGGAGATCGCACAGAAGGCGGTGGAGCGCGAGGTGGAACGTGCAGCGCAGAGCAAGGCAACAAAGGCGCTCATTGATGAGTTAACGGAGGTTCGCGCGGGGAGGCGTAGGAAAATGTAGCGTTCAATTCAGATATCAGTCGCGTTGAACGAAATTAGACTGTATTTCACGGTTCCTAGCTATATTACCCCGGTTTTGGAGCTTCGTGAGGTTTTTTTCCGGTCGAGTGGTACGGCCAAATTTTCGAGTGGATTTCCCAAAAAGGAAAAAGTGTGGCTGTGCTCGCTTCTCTCTTAAAACAGACGACCAACTCGACTATGGGCATCTGCCCTCCCTCATGCCGCGAGCCCTTACCGCCGATGTGTGGTGGCGGGTAGCCCATTTCACCCCCGAACACAAACACTTGGACCTTGTGCGGCTCTCGAAAGGCATCCACGATCTAATTATCCCAATGATATACGGTGACATCGACATCGGCCGCGGGGCTTTCCTCTGCGTGCGCTCTCTGGCGAACAATCCTCGTCTAGCGCTCCTCGTATGTCTTCTGTCATCATACACCTACGTCTTCCTCTAACCTCCGATTTCAGGTGTGCGTATTGTGCTTTCGCCGAGGCTCGTTCGTTGACGCCGCCGAGTGGGCCACCGGTCTTGTTGCGATGAAAAACCTGAAGTTCCTATATGTAACCCACTACATCAGCTTCCCCCTCAACATTCTACCTCGTATCACCTTCTCCCTCACCACTTTCGGCTCTCACTGCTCCGTTGTCAGCTCTTGGGCGGCACTCATCGCCTCCCAGCCCACCATTGTCCAGCTGAAACTCAACTCCGACTATTACCTCTCGCCACCGGGCCCTGACGTGCTGCCCGCGTTGCACGCCGTCCAGGGGCGTCCCGCCGATTTGGCCCGATTCGCGCGCCACCATGCGCTCGAAGACCTGTGGTTCTTCACTGGTCCTCCACACGAGCGCCGCAGCTTGAAAGCGGCCGACATCGCCATCTTTGCGCAGTCACCCTCGCGTCTCATCACCGTCCGTCTCAGCGCTCGCCAATTCATCCTCCTAGTTAACTTCGCCCCTGCTATGATGGCGACGCTGCAGCATATCGTCTTTGACGAGTGCCCCGAGTGGTCGGAATTTACTCGCATGCCATCGCTTGTCGTAGTGGTGAGCGTTCTTTTTATAATGCAATTTTAGCTCGCACTAACAACGAATTGCAGCGGGGCCACCTCGCTCAGGTCGCGCAGCGAATTAACCAATGCGCTCCGCTCCTTCGGAGCATGCTTCTCGCGTTCTCCCAGAACGTCTCGCAA